TTTCAAAGTACTGATGCACCAAAGTGGCCTTCCCGAACATCCCCAAACAAGCCGAAACAGATGATTGAGCACTGAGACACCTGGAAAGTACTGTAGTACTTTGAAAGTAGAGCAGTGCTTTGAGAGTGCTTTAATGCTTCCTCAGTACTGATGCACCAAAATGGAAAAAATGTACAATTTGGAGATACATAAATTTCCCGAATTTTTTTTTGCAGAAAACAAAGTAATCAAATGAAATATTAATAGTTATTAATGCTGGTATATTGCTTTGACAGTTATTTCGCTGTATTTTGGCAAATCGGCATTTCATTTTATCAGTTCTCCACAAAAAAAAACATATATGCCATAATTTTCAAAAATAAATTTTTCTCTTCAAACATTCCAAATATTCGAAGCCGGTTTCATTTTGAAATTAATTTGATTTTATCGCTTAAGACGTGAAACATTTGAATTTCTGACTCACAAGTCAGTCAACAAAATTATATCACTTTTTTGAACAGTAGGTTTTTAATAAATAATTTTCGTTATGTAGAATTTTTTTACTGATCATAAATTAACTGTTGATACACACAGAAATCTTAACTGATTTCACTCATTATTATCGTATAATTCTGTGCGCTATTTCTTCATTAATAACTTTAGCACCCACCTTATTTCGCTGACTTTGCTTGATCCAGATCAGCGGAAACGCGCCCAACATTCCAAACAGACAAATTACACTCAACAGCTGCACCAGCACCAGCCACGCCCGCTGTCCTGGAATCCCCGTCACATCCGTCCAACACCCGTACTCCGCTTCAGGCTTTCGATAAAACAGCGCGTCCATCACGACTTCCGGCAAAGCGACCACATGCGCCAGCGCCCAGGTGGCGCCACAGCATAGAAACGCCGTGGTGAAATTGTGCCGGCGCCGGAAGGACAGCGGCCGCCACAACGCCTACACCCGGTTGCCGGCGATCAAGAGGTGCGTGCTCATCTGCACCAGGGATGACACCCAGATCCCGTACATATACACCGTGCAACTGGCCCGGCTGAGCACCCACTTGGCGTCCGGGTAGAGTTTGGAGGAGAAGTTGAAGGGCCCAGTGAGGGCGCAGAAGACCACGTTGGATAAAAGGAGGTTGGTGAGGTACAAGTCAAACGCCAACCACGTGTGCGAACGGGGCAGGAAGCTGAGGAGAAGGAGGAGGTTGAGGAGCAGGGAGAAGATGCTGCAGGAGAGGGAGTTGATGGCGGACCAGCTCCAGTCAGGGGTTAGACTGATGGTGGTTTTGAGGTGGTCAGTGGCGTTCATGGTGGTTTATCTATTCGCGACCGAATCTACAATGTGCCCACGTTGAAAGCCAGCAAAGGAGTCTATACCACGATGAAGCGTCGGAAAGGAATTAATAATTCATGGCGGATGGCGACATAGATAAGTAGCCGATGTTGCTGTGGTCAGTGGCCAGTGCCGATATTCTAGATCAATCTAGTCGCAATCGAATCCACGATGTATCCACGTTGAAAGCAAGTAATGCCTATAATATGCCCCAGTGCTCCATCACGACTTGAATTTGCTCGACGTCGATAAACAAACTGAAATAATTTAAAGAAGCGTAAATACTTGTAAATGCAAGCACCAGTGGTGCACAAAAATATGCACCATAATGTACATAAACATGCACCATAATATAAGGGGCATATATGGGGCAGAGTAGCAAGCGGCGAAGGAGCATGATAGATACTATACAAATGAGCGACGATAGATAGTAGATACTGTACAATAACTGACAATTGTGAGGTAAGTAGTGGTCAAGTTCATGGTGCACAAAACATACGATGCATGCACCAGTGGTGCATAAATATGCACCGTTGGTACGGATCTTTACTGGTGCCATAACATTATACCCGACCTCAGGTCGGACATCAGAAGTCACCGATAACAGGTCGGTGAAGGATGACGAAACTGAAGACTGGGATTGGAAACGACCTCGAGATGGACGAATTCGACTTGACGGGACTTGTATAGCCCCACATGGGCCTAAAACAGTATAAGTCCCCGAAGTCGACCATGGAGGCACGTTATCACGGACCTCAAGTCGGATATCCATCCCAACCGACAAAACGTCCGATGACAACAGTGAATCATCAGACGATGGAAGAAGCAACAATTTCCGACCGGACCTTCGAGCCAGTTCGCCTCGAAAAAGTCATAACCAGGATCGTGGTAGCAGATTTAACGGTTTTAGCCGACCACATTACCGGCGTTACCACTTGGCGACCACAGAAGTCGCATGACACAAGTACGGTTTTGTCCGACTTGAACTTTGGAATTCGGGACTTAGCCGGAATCCCTTGCCGCCTGTCAACTTACCGTTAGGCCGACCTTGGTCAACCGACCTCGGTCCAACTCCCCTATTCAGAGAGGATGCTTCGGCGTTCGCAACAGCGACAGTGCCTATCTCTTAGGAAGGGACGAATACGAGTCGGACGTAAGTGTCAGCCGTGCTTACCCGACCTCGGACAAAATTACCGGTTATGTTGGGTAACCCGGGAACCGACGCCCCGGACATGAAACATCGGATTGCATTCAGACAGGAGACCACGCGGACGTCATCCTAGTCGGAAAGCCCCCGGACAGTTCTCTTTTAATAATTTTCTACCTTTTCTAACAGAAGGAATTGTATTTTACTTAGAATCTCTAACCAGATCTGTTTTGCGTTACTTTTTGCTCACTGGAATTGTGATGAAATTTTATTACATTTTTCTTTCGCGCTGTTTAACCGTCATTACACTTTTCTTTTTACGTTCTCCGATGCCAACAGAAGCAAGATGCCGGCCAACAGAAGCGTTACCGGTCCAACGAAACGCCCGAGCGGCTCCAGATTTTCGGCCGTGAGTTGTTTGCCTCTCATGGGTCTGGAAGTGAAGGATGGGAGGGTCAACAGGACACCGGATTCCGACTGCAAGAGGACGCGTACTGGCGACCCCACATGGGTCGACCGGAGAGGTGCGACACTGGCGCGGTACTGAGTCGGAGCATCCTCGCAGGAGCTCGGATTCCCGCCCAGAGGCATGTTAGAGGCACGACAGCCTTCGTGGTAGGTACGCCACTTTGCGTATGCGTACCAACGCACACATGCTGATTCGCCCTCTCTTGTACCGGTAGGGTTGTCATCACGTCGTCACACAGTTTCACAATCACGCCGTTTTCCTGCTCACAATCCCATCATGCCGAACAATTGCAGGCGTGATAAAAAAATGTGATGAGTGATGGGACGGTGATGTGATGGGATGAATTTTTATTGTTAAAAATGAAAGGTCAAAATCCGTTACCTAAACTATAGCTCTTCGACAGTGCATACATTTTTAGCAACATTTTTAACAAATTCTGTGTTAGAGCAGTTTAGAAACGAGAAATGCGAAAAGATGCAAAAGCATACTTTGAATGACTTGGTTCGCCTCTGGTTTGGTTTGATTTAATTTTAAAATACACGTATTTGCAAAAACTTGTAGCAATTTAATACCGTCTTTGTGATTTAGCGGTATTTGATTTTGTGAATTATCTGGCAAAGTGGCCGGAAATTGCGATGCTCAAGTGACCGTTGAGGAAGATGTTCATAAGATACTTGACGTAATACACCAGCGGCTTCTTACTTTTTGCGAACCGCTGCAAAACTGCGAGAACCATAAGACTTCGTTGCTTGCAGCTTTTGACTTTGGACGGTTGTCAACTTGTTGTAGTTTAATTAGTTGCGTCGGTTTTTTGTCCACGTTTTTGAAAGGTATCTTTCTTGAAAACAGTTAGCATAAAATTTTGAATTTTTTGTTATGAAAAATGTGTCCGAAATTATTCAATAAATTAATAATCTATCCCATCAATCACATCACTTCCTGTTCACATTCCCATCACATCCCACCTCCAAAACCTTGGTGGGATGACAACCCTACTTGTACGTACGTGAGTGGCTGCACTTCACTCTCAGCCTAGCGGATCTACCGCGTGCGCACTCACTGAGCATACTTGCTCTCTCGTTCCTCTCTCTCGCTGTATGACTCAGCGCTTATACGCTCGTGTTGGATACGAATCCAGTCTGCGCATCACATTCCACATGTCTGGACAGCATGACGTTGCCGCCAGCACTTCTTTCTCTACATTTTATTACGCTCAAGCACTTGATCTCAGCAAATTTGACATGCTGATTTTCATGCCAGACATTGGCTGCATTATTCTTTCTCCCGCAATCACGCGGTATTTGCTCCACTTTATTTGTCAATAAAGATCACTGTGAGCTCCCTGCGCTTGCCTGTCACAGGTCTGGCATTAAATCTGGATGCGTCTTGCACGGTCTTAATCCTCCAACAATATTCACTGCTAAATCACCACCTATGGCACGGTTCGTACACGTTGAATTTTTCAGGGCATTTTTTTTGTTTTTAGATTTGTATGCACAATTTGCCACAGAATCCTCTACGTAATTTTTTTGTATCCTCACCCATTTTTAGCCAATTCCTGTTTTTGTTAGTTCGCCCTATCTCAACGTATCCTTGCAAGTGTCCTTTAAGCACCAGTATCCCGCATGTGTTCTATTGATAACATAAAACAGTTCAAAGGATACGTACAATTCATAGTTTGCTCAGTTCAAGAGCAGATCTATTTCTCATTTCTTTTACCACCGAGAAATATACCCGGGTTGTTATACTGCATTATGTCAAGCAAATGCCACGCGTATGACGTTTTGCTGTCTGCCATTATCGGACTTTGGATCGCTCCATACGAGCATGGAGAGATCAAAATCGGCAGCCTAATTCCCGCGCGGACACTCCAACAGCTTATCGACACTTTTAAGGATGAACAAAGCCGTGTACTCCACTATCCCTGGCCAAACTGAAGTCTTTAATTGAGGAACAGACGATGCCTATTATGGGCCGTTTAGCGAATCAGACCATCGAACAGCAAAATCGAATTCTTGAATTGGAACGTCAACAGTGACCCATCCTTGATAATTACCAGTTTCACATTGTACATAAACCGTGCAAGAACGAGACAAACAGACGGCGCAGAACAACAGCGCAAGACCCGAAAGCGCCACATAGATTGTATAAGACATGCTACGACAGTAATGTTATTTAGTGGATTTTATGCGTTGTAAGTGAGTTTCCACAGCTGCTGCCCAAAAAGCCAGTGCACGCAGCACCAAATTTCGGCGGCTTTTCATTTGATCACCAAAGCGAAAATGTTTCAAGTCGTTGATAGATTTCGGTGGCTGCATCCTCCACCTGCGAAAATCAGCTTGCTAGCTACAGACTGTATATTGCTGATTCCAAAGAAAATATTAAGTAATAATCCGGTGAACTTACTTTGTAAAACAAGCCAGCAAAGTTGTCCAGTAATCATTGTTTTTCCGTAAACGAAACGGTATGATGAAGGAGGCTGAAGACTTGTTAAGAATGCCGTTCACCTTACTGATACACGAGCGTATGGCAATAAACTCAGCTGCGTCGATTGGTTGGATAAGCTTGTCGATGTGGTTGAACAACGCTAACTGCAGGTCGCAGTTACGCGGCGGTTCACGGGCGAACGAGTAGGAAAACCAGGCAATTTGACTGCTTATCCGATAGTCGCAGTCGATACGACTGCCATAGAAAAATTCATTGGTCGAACGTTCGAATGAATACCGTTTCAGCGCAAAATTCCGGCATATTTGCGATATTGTGCTCGTAATTTGTCCGGTTTCCCAGTTTAGAAGTTCGCGTGTGCCACGGATATCAGCATCTGCAACGACCAGCCAGTCTAATCGAAGGTGCAGGTAAGAGAACAGAACGGCGACCGGGGCCAGGAAATCGTGCCAGTATGGTCCGGTCAGATACACGGTTCTGGTGCTGCTCGTTACAGTCATCTGGATTCGATGCGCCAAATCGTGTGCTGATTCGCAAAGGTCGCGGTCGGGAATGATTATGGCGTCGTACTGGCGATCGGTGGACTGCAGTACTGTCCGCCAGCTGCTGGACACTCTGTGGGAAAACAACCAACAAGCTCAAACTAAGCACGCCATTTATGGGATCTCGCTCATGCGATTTATAGATAAATGTTTGCACCAGGCCAGTGGCTAATATTTAGCAGTGATTTGTTATTATTTACCTTTGGAAAGCGTTACGATCATAAATGTCCAGATAAGAAAAAGCTTCAGTTTGAGTTTCAAATGAAAGGTCCGCAAACTCCAGCCAGCTGCGGTCCGAGTCACCTAGTTTTCACCACAGGGAAAATTACCAACCTAATCGAATACCGGCATCGCCACAATGATAAGCACTCAAAAATAACTTTATAATATTATTAATTATAGAGCGGCAATCTGTTATAGTAAACTCAACGAAGGGAAAAATCGCAAATGTCGTAATATCCGTGAATATGCAGAAATATTGCAGGCAGATGACGTGGTTCTTGGCATACAACCAAAAAAACGCGTGTCCAGCTTGATTATTATTATTCGTGTAATCGTGTTTATCCTCGCCAGTCACAAGCATTAATTTCGCGAACTACAAAGTACTTTTGTGTGCCGGTGTATGCCGTTTTTTAGTCAAATTAATACATAATACGGGTACGAGCAAATCTGGCTGTATACCCGTTGTGCGCGCAGCATTCGGTTTCTGAGAAAAATTAATTAAATACCTTGTTTTGAATAATCCCAATTGTGGGATTATTCAAATAGTTTAAAATGTACATAGAAAGCATTTAAGCGCATTATCGTGTTTAAACATTTGCAGCAAAATATTTAAATGTTATATGTATACAGCTTTTCTGAAACTTTCCTATGAAAAACATTCGTTTCATAAAATTCTAACAAAATACTATGGATTTAGGCTTGGTTTGGAATTGGCTACCCGTAGTTTGGAACTTTTTTAATATACAGTATTTGTATTTCGTATTTCATGGAAAACGGTTTACGAAGGTTAATAGCTGTTGAATAATGATTAACTTTTATTCATTAGATTTCGCCATAGCTCAGCAACAGGATGTTGCGCATAAATACCCTTCCGGTCAATCTACAGTTTACAGACATTTGGATAAAACGCTTGACCACCCGTATGAACAGCGTTATAAGTGTGGGTGCCATTAAGTCCAGTGTAACCTACTAAAACAGCCGGAAGACGGTTATGGCGGTTAGATCACCGTCCAAATCGTCTGGGCCGCCGAAGCGTTCGCCGTAAATTTTGCTCACCCTGTCTTTTTTTGCAGTTTGGAAAGAAAAAACATTCAAAGTAAGAATCAAGTATCTGGGCTTTGCTACCAGCATGAAAAAGAAGTATCAGCAAAGACGTCCTTATTTTAATTCTCTGTGGTGACTAAAACGTCCGGCGGACGTGTTCCGGGATTACATAGGATATACGTACGCTCAGCTATCGGGACCTAATTAGGCGCGCTGTACTTCGGGCATTTCTCTTAAGATAGGTAAAAACTTATAATACTACATAGTTTAGTGGTGCAGCTTGAGGGTCTATTCGCAAAAATGCTCACAGTTGGGCTGAAACCGGCATCTTCTGGATATACATATTATGTTTTGTGTGCCGTAGCACGCATGTTGTACTTGCCCTGTGTCCCGGCACACTGTTCTGTGGACAGTCGCGTTCGGCTGGGGGAAGGCATCGCCGAGCACTCAGTACATGGCTGCACCCAGTACCATTCCCGAACATTGTCACCGTGTAATAGATCGTCTACTCGTTTTTGCGCGGCGTTACTAAACCGTCCCCGGCTCAGCAAATGGAGTCGGCAGTCCTCTAATTTCGTCACTATGGTGCCAGTATCGCGTAACCACGATAAATGAAACGCTCGGCAGATGATGCCACGGTGCATTAGACTGGCCACCCGGGTAGGTAACTGGAGTGCCGTTGAGCGAAATGTGCGCGGCGTGACGTTGGCCTGTGGTGAACGCGAAAAGCGGAAGCGGAGATGCACACCGCTAGCCGTTTCTTCGCTGATGACGTATTGTTCACCGCGTTCACCGGCACCCACTTGTACGTGCAGGAGCCACCAGTCGGGCAGCGTAGTGGTACTACGGAAGCAGTGCTCGTGCAGCAGTCGTGCTTTCCGCCACACCGCCGGTTGTCCCTCACCCTGGCTGATTAGGGCTTCGGTGGGCTGTTGTGTCACTGTGGCCCATATAAACCCCGCTAAATTCTTCCAGAAGCCAGTTGGTTGCACCATCAATCGGTCGAAGGTTACCAGTGTGGTCGTGGTGTCCCACAAATTCAGTTTCACGTAGAGGCCTCTATCGGTTACATCGCACACCAGGCCCCTCGTCAGGCTGCCAAAGTCACCGATGACGTCCACCAGAAAGGATTGGGACTCTTTGCGATAGCGGAAAAGCGGTGTAGATATTAGATTCGATATCAATGGGGCATCGGGTGCCAACATCGTGGCGTAATTACCAAAGGAACAGTGTGGTCACGGTTGTGGACTACAGGCTTTTCTGATTAAGGCGAAAGAAGCTATTACGGAAGCCAAAACGTATAGTACTGGCACTAGACAGCAGCAGCTAAAAAGAAAATATCAGGACGGTTTAGTAATCATGGACAGCTACTGCATGCGTGTACAATACTCATTCAGCATAATGCAAAGGAAGGGTGTTCCAAAAAGGGGATAGGTTATTGTCTGTTTGAAATAACTGCAATTGAAATATTGTAAATTTTGCAAGTCGTGAAATAATGTTAGCCGCTTGCTTCCTTTCTACGACAGCTCTGCAATAGATTAGTTGGAACTTTTGGAACATGGGTAGAACAGTCGATCGATAACCGCATCAATCAACTCATGTACTGCGTGCGTTTATATGCGCCCCTGCTAACCAAGGCACTATAATAAGCCCATAGGAAGGCATGGGCAGCAAGATTGGATAAGTCATCATCCCTACAGTCTGAAGAACGGACAGTTACCGCTGCGGCAGCGCGCGCTACAGTCTGAGTAATGCAGAGTATTTCAATGGAATATTATACAAATGTAATATGTAACATTAACACATTAGAAACGAATGATCCAATCATGATAAATTCAATGAAGAAAAGAAATTCATTCTGTTGCTCGTAGGACAGAGCAATAATATGTGCGGCATTTGTATAATAATTATAAGTCTGATTGAGATCAGTGGATCTGATAGTACCTAAATATGCACGCAATCTGTAAATATGCAGCAAGCATAAGCAAGTGGATATTCCTATAAGCGCAATAATAATGATAATGGAAGTTTATTGTCCTTGCAACGGAGCGGTTGCCCCCTCTAGGCTTCAGATAGCGGGAAGAAACAGAACGTAACAACAGCACCAAGAAATAATGACATGTAAACATCAAGGTCATCGTTATGTAAAACACGAAGGAAACGTGTCAAAAACGACAAGCGTTAACCATCAGTATCACACGAGGATACAAGAATAGAGTAGGAACTTATGTTGGGATTGCGAATAGTTTGGTGTTACCTATGTGGAAAAAGGGAGGAGACGATCGCGCTGGGGTTGATGCATAAAACCAAAACCCACATATTACTCAAGTAATTAATGAATTTCATAAAAATTTTCGGAAAATAAAAACCGTGGGGAAAAGGAAAGCACCGACACGTACGCACGTAATCGCCTTGTAATGTCGTTTGTCAACTAATTCGCAATCACCGTGAAGTTTAGTATATAGGTGGAAACAATGTACAGTACGCAGTGAACAGGACAAAAAAAATAGTTGCACTAAATAATTTTTTTAACGATTTTAACAGAAGGTAGATCCTGTAGATTCACCGTCTTCAGAGCTTCGGTGAAGGTATTCAACGTGACGTAAGCAGCAGATGGCAGCGGAAGTTCATTCCAGACTGATACAAGGCTGTTGAGATGCGATTCGTGGGTGGTGATAACCGTTCGTCCACAGATGGTTGTCGGTGCCGGTTTAATAGGACACGGGTGTTTCATAAGACGATCTGATGTCCTGGTGTTACCTGCAACAGACTCAAGCACAGCAGCCGAGAATCGAAGTGGCAAAACAACCATTTCACCCATCGGAACCACCCGAAATACTAATTTATATATGAACAACAAGGCTTTTTTCATACGACGGGTACGAAGATCATCCCACTTAAGTTCTTTCAGGCGTTCACTGTAATTCAAGAGATTGTTGCCGAGTCGTAGAGTTTTGGTGAACCTCCTTTGGCAACGTTCCATTTCATTTGTCGACTTTTTAGTGAAGGACGTATAACAGAACAACAGTAATCGATTACGGAAAGGACAAGTGACTCGAAAAGTCGTATTCGAGCGCCGTAATCGGTGTATCGGAAAACGTGATTTATGCAGCTAATTCTTCGATCACACTTTTTGCTACATTTTCACTGTTGATCTTGAAGTCAAGTTTACGATCAACAAATATTCCTAGATGCTTAACGTGATCACACTGCGGGATGGGAGCACTGCTGATGCTGTACTGATATTCGCAAGTTGAAACTTTCTGTTTCGAGAACTGAACGTGGACAGACTTTGCAGCGTTAAGACTTAACTGTTTGCCGGTAAGCCATTCACTGAGATACGACAAGTCTTCCTGCAACAACTGAAAGTCAGACGGATGAGTAACAGGACGAAGCACTACGATGTCATCGGCGAAAACAAAAGCGACGCTTCTGTTTTTCAGTGCCCAGAGAAGATAGTTTAAAACACATATGAACAACAATGGTCCTAGCACAGAACCTTGAGGTACACCGCTGTTTACAGGTAGCGCGTCTGAAATTTCGGTGTTAGCGACAACACACTGCGTTCGATTTTTCAAGTAATTGGAAATTAAATGCACAACCTGCCTGGGAAGATTCACAGTCAGGCAATGCCATGCTTGACTGACGTGTATTGTATATATATATTATATACTGCGTTGTAATTCACTGGACTATCGACCACAGACGCCCCGTGGATAGTACAGTGTAGACTGTTGTACATTCTGGCATAGGTAAACATAATATTATTGTTTTATTGTTCTACGAGTATTATTTATACGAGTACTAGCAGCGTCGTGACCGACCTTTACAACATAAAGGATGAAAATATTATCTTCGGTCTGTAGAAGCTTGACAGAACGAGTGCGCCATTCCGAGGCCTTCCGATTCCACCAAAATAACAATATTTGCCTGTAAAAAAAATAATAATATTCACTAAGAAGACTTCATACGCGCCTTTGTAGCTTAGATTTGGATGATTTTAAATTTTGACATAGCGGAAACCTTGTTGGTTGATGTCGTGGCACACGTGGCAACTGCTAAACTTAGAAAAAAATTCAAAAAACTGTTAAGATTTGTTTTGCATGCTCCATCGACAATATAATATACCTTTTGTCAACTAAAAATGTTGCAACATCCTCATGCAAGTCACGGGTGTTGATGGTTCACTAAAGGTTTGAAAACTAGAGCAATGGACGGGTACTGTCAAAGCCGCCGACTTATTTCATTCATCACGCCGACTTATTTCTTTCATCAACCACACATGTGCGGCTGCAGCGAGTACTCGCTTTACGTGTGCAGATATGAGCGCACAAGCAATCGTGATCACACCACGTTCCAAAAAACTATTAAAAACAACAAAAAAAGCATAAAGCGTTTGCGTAAAGTTATTCGCGGTATCGTGCAGATTTTTGCGGCTTCTCTTACAGAAACACCGTTTTCTTTTACTTCAGCGCAGGCTTGTAGAATACTTTTTAGTTTTTCCATTGTAGCGCTTTACTTTCGCTTGTTACTCTATTCTCAACACAATGATGCACCACGAAAGCATGAAACACCTTATTATGAAAACAAATTTGAGTATTCGCTGCAGCCGCACATGTGTGGTTGATGAATGAAATAAGTCGGCGTAGTATAGTGGCTCTCGTGGCGTGGCTTAAGCGTTTCGTCACTTGTTTTTTACAACTTAAATAACTAAAAAACGGCTCAACCGATTTTCAAATTTTCAAGTACTCTGTAAACAGCAAGTTGTGCTGAACATGTTATATCAAAAAACCGGAAGAAAATCGGTTCTGGGGCAAAATAACTTATGCCTGGCCACTTGAAGGTATGTCGCCCATTGACTTAACATAGGTGGCCACTTGAAGGTCTCTACGGGTCGGTATTACTCGCATAAGAAATCATACTGACTAATAAATTTCGCGCGAAGCTAGCAAGCAATTTTACTTGAAACAGTTGATACAAATTCCGTCAAAATACAAGTAATAAGACATTCCGATTTAATTGCTGCCGCAATTCCGCTATAAGGAACGAATCCAGCAGTCCCGCTATCAATTTTAATATTTTGAAGTTCAACTATAAAGTCAGATTTCGCGCAAAGCGCGGAGCCAGCAAACGCTTCTACTTTAGAATGGCTAAAAAGTTTTATAAAAATAGATTTTCGTACCGGCGCAACGGCGTTCAACTGTTATTGACCTTTGTTCTTTTTAGGATTAAGCTCGGTAAGCCAAGAGTAATCCATTTAACTCCAAATAACTCGGCCTGTAATCCAGTTTTTTCATTTTCTGTCGATCGCTTTGCATGCGAGCAGACGGCACCTTTAAGTGAAACGGTTGTTCATAATAATTGTGCAAAAGTTAAAATTTTGAATTTTTGGAGTATCCAGCACTGGAGCGTTCGTTTTTACTGTTCTGCCTATAAACCATTTTCGAAACATTCTGCATTTTCCAGGTGCAGAATATGAGTAAAATTGGAGCGACTTAATTCATATCCAGTTAATAATATAAACGAATGTGCGAACGGCTTCAGTTACTACCACGTCATATTGCGTTATACCTCCTGAAACATTGCCTTGGCGCGCCGAAAGTCATAGCTTTGCCGAAGTGTCTCGGGGCAACGGCTTTTATTGGAACTGCAGTACTTTATACTGGTATTGTTGCCTGGAAATGGAATTGCAGCAATAAAACACAATACCGAAATGGAAAAAAATTGTTTTTTTTACCCTTCGTGAAATATGAATGGCCCCTTGGGAGCGGGGGGTCTCTTCACAGCCGCTTTACTTACTTTGTTCGCTGAACATGCTACATTTAAGACTGTATGGTCCCAGTTTTGCTCTACTACTACTATTAGTACAAAATTTGAAATTTGCCATGAACGTCAAAGCTGCCAACATTCTCCGCCGTACTGCACGTTTGCTGTAACTTCCTTGTAGTTGCAAGTATCTGATTTAAAGAGAAAACCTACCTTATTGAGTCGATTCCGTCATAACCTTTTCCTTCAACGTTTTACCGTAATAAGAACATATAACAATTAGAGTAAGGAGAAGATGATCGTCATCTGCTTTCCTTTTTTCTATTTTTTTGTGCTTTTATTGTAATCTTTGAGAAATTATCATAAAAACAACAGCGTTTGCGACTTAGAGAAACTTCTCATAAAACTATAGCGTTTATTTTTTGTTGTTGTTGACTTGTTAATGGTAGGACAAGCTCGTATTCTTAAATTTAATTACTACGTTAAATCTAATAAATTCTGACAAACATCCTGCAATATTTACTCTGTTGAAGATGTTGGCCACAATCCCGTTTCGACAGCTACTGGTACAATTTCATATAAATATATTTAAACGCATTCCGTTATCTGATCGGGGTTAACAGAATTATTTTGCAGGTGAGCAATCGTTTTCAGCGTTGAGGCGTATTAAGACATATTTACGTTCTAGTATGGGCGGCGATAGGGACACGCACCTTAATTTATTGCACTATAATCATGATATTCCTGTGAACATACGGCAAGCGTCCCTCACATTTCTTTCGCAACATGGCAGAGACAGTTCAAAACTTTTTGGTTCTTATCTGGAGGACTATTTGCAAGAGAAAGAGCACTACAGTCCTCCAAGGCAGCCGACCCATTACGAAGCGATGAACGAGGAAAATGATGCGGACGAAGAACAAGAGCCTGTACACCATTGCGGCTTGCCAGAAAACGATCGCATGGAGAACGAGGCTAATAACGACTGGACTTATGCCAGCATTCATCAAAGTGACGACGAATGAAATTTAAGCGATAATTTTCTGCTTTATGCGAACATGATAGAAGTTACGCTTGCTTGTGAAACAAAGTTGTCCTTGTTTTAACACGATAACAACGTGCTTTGTTATAAAAATTTGCGCATGCTTCCATTTTCTGATAACAGTGTCCGATAAGATATCGTTTAGTACCATGCGGCGTGCGGTACCTTATAAAGTGGTACTTGCAACGGACAAATAGCAATTTTAGCGTCAGATTCGCGTTCAGCGCATTTGATTTGTCTATAAAAAGTGAAAAGAAAGTCAAAAAAAAATGATTTATGACCGACCGCCCTTAGGGGGACGGCGTGGTAGGGTCAGGGGCGGAAGTCAGAAAATTTTTTACTTCTTTTCAACTTTTAGAAACGTTTTCTATGTCAAAAAATTCGCTGGTTTTGATTGTGTAATTAGTTTTGCTAAAAAAAAAGAGGTTGGGGGGTAAACTTGATTTGCTAATATCCTTACGAAGTCCATGGACGTAACTTAAATAGGCGGGGCTGTCACACTGTCACCAAAATTCTACCGTAAGCGAAAAATACCGATTCAAAAAATACAATTTTAATAAATATTTTGTGACGTAACTTAAATAGGCGGGGCTGTCACACTGTCACCAGAATTCTACCACCATAAGAGAAAAATACTGATTTGAAAAATTGAATTTTAATAAATATTTTGTGACGTAACTTGAATAGGCGGGGCTGTCACACTGTCACCGAAATTCTACCAAAAAGCGCACAATATAAAAACTGTGCTTTTTACAATCATATTCTAAATTATTATTAGTAATCATAATAAATAACGAAATGGCTACGCGCGAGAGTATCGCGCGCGTAGTACTTTGACTACGCGCGAGAGTTTCTCGCGCAAAGTCAAATAACCACGCGCGCGATTTACCGAAATTAGTAACTTATCGATTTTGAACTGACTATTATTATATCTGAATTAACAACCAAGGTCAACATTAATGTTATACTAGTGTCCGAATAATTTCTTGCATATATACCAGAACTGTGTGCAAGCAAGCATAATTTCGTATTACAAGCCGGCACAATTAAGCAGTTTGAGCTACCTACCGGTACTTGTGACGGTTGCAATTTTTAATTTTGTACTATTTAATCCTCTAAAATGGACTCGCCTTTGCTTAAAACCGAAGATCGTTTTATGTCATACAAAGCAGCTGTAAAAGTTGTCCAAGATCAAGGACAACTGATCAACCAAGTTTTTGCAAACCCTGGACGAAACGCGAGGACATCGAAAACACATCCGCACCATGCAACTTTCCCATACAGTTCCGCCCGCCCTATCTATAAATATCGCGAGGCGAATATCGCCCACACGGGAAGGACGAGCAGGTTACGCACCAGTCCATCACAACGACGCTCAGGAGTGGTTGCAAACCATACGTTCATCTTCATCACCCGCGTACCGCCTCGCATCATCGCGGGTACCATCAACGCGACGCGTCGGTCGACGAGAATGTTCGCGATAGTCATCACGAAAGACAGTTTCAACCAAGGGACGAGAATTTGCAAAGAAATACGACAGGGGGAGAACGAGATTCTAACGCAGGCAAACATCGCTAAATAGTAAAACACCAAGACTACGTCAACATTGCAAAGTCAAAGGTAATTTATAGCCTTGCGATTCCGGAAGTCGGCCGAGCGCTGGGCACTGCAGTTACTGAGTCTGCCGCGAGAGGCATCTAAGGTCAGTGTCTGCTGTTTCTCACCACGTGTGCGCACTGTACGATTGTCTGAAGCCTGACGCTGTAAGGATCTTCTGCTCGACGGGACAACAGCCAACAAATCTTCTAAAGTTGCAACTATTTCGTATGTTCTGTTTACCGGATTCAAACGGTCAGGTCGAAATTGAGTACGTCGCAGTATACGGACAGCCGCCGGTGAGGAGCAGCTGCCTAATTTATCCTTCTGCATTTGCTTATGACCTGCTGCTGCAAAACCTATCCATATAGCAAATTACTACCCCGACCGAAAATTTCGGGAATGGTTTCGCGAAATCGTTATAACGGGAGTGTTGAGGCAACCGCCAAAAACAAAGGGGCGAAATACCCATAGTAAGACTGTGATCACCTTTCAAAGCATACGCGTTTCGGGAAAAGAAGCCAAAGCGGTGAGAAAAGCAGTGAAGCTGCCGCCTAAACGAAGAGATACTGCTCTCTGAACTCAAATTATAAATTTAGAATTAATATCTGTAATGCTGCGGCATTTGTGCCAAATTTTAGTTTATCATTGCTCGTTTATGAAAATAAAAAACAACAAAACTCTCGCGCGTAGCCGATTGTATACAAGTTTTACTACGGGCGAGAGCTCTCTCGCGCAGTCAAACTACTACGCGCAGGAGCTCTCGCGCGTAGAAAAAGTGCTACGCGCGTGAGTACTCTCGCGCGTGGACCTGACCAATAAATAATTATGAAAATTATTTTTAAATTAATAATTTTTAAAAATAAGGAAAATAAAATGTTTTTTAGAAACATCCAATTCCATTAAGGAAAATTCCATTAAAAACGAAAACTGCTGCCCCGAGCCTTGAGCAGCGTCATATCGACTGCCCTGGCAACATTCTTATTTGGTGTTTTTGGAGTTCTTCTAAGGGATATTATTGAAATCCATTTGGTCAATGCGAATACTTGGGACAGTTCCCATCCTGATTACGACCCCGTTCATGAAAACGCATGTGTGCTCTTAGGGGTGCTCGGCCAAACGTTTGTCGGTACCTTCTTGGGACTGCATAGTGTTATGTGGATTTGTGGCTTGGCTCAGTCGATTACGGCAGGAATCAGTATATCGAAAATGCTCAGACGCAGCGAAACTCCACAAGTGGTGTACACACAATTGGCTTCTATTATACACAGGGTGCTTCAGGGCAACAAGTGTATTTCGTGGCGGACCAACCCGTGAGATCGGCTATTCCGCATGATCCATTGGCAAATCCAGTTCAGTCAGCTGTACAAAGGCCATGATAAATTTTGGCATACATATTAAATTTGGGTTAACGCTTTCTTGTCAATCCGATGCATTTTTTGACAAAAGAGGTACGATTACAGCACATACGCTACTTGTATATTGTATTATTCTTAAATCATCTGCAAGCACTCATGGCTAGATTCCGGTCAATAGAAGTATATAAAGATCGCTCCGGACTATCTAACGGTATTCAGTAACATTCATTGTGGTTTAATCTGTATGCATACCGAATAGTGATTATTTGAGCAGGTAACGTGGGCATTGCTCAATGATCCAATAATGGTCACTATTTTAGCGGTTGTCTGGTTCGTTTTCCGCTGCCAAGGTACTGGTTCTCGTTGATCTATACACGTAAGACTCATACGATACATTTGCACTATAAGTCGAATTCAGACGTATCGTTTCAATAATGATTTTTTTAAGAGGCGATACCATTGACCTTTGTAACTCTGTAAAACGCGCTGTAATTATCGAATTTTAAGCTCACCCCGAAATAAAAGTTCCCTCGTGAAAGGGCACCGCAACATTAGCCCCTCTAGAGGAGGGTCACCAAATACAATACAACTCCACTCGAACTAGGTGCCCATGGGCTTCAATTAAAAGTGCGGAAAAATGTATACATACAGGTACTCACAAATATGGCAATGTGACCAACCTTACTCAGGCAATAAAGATGGAATATGCTCTAGATGTACTCAAACGGAAACTCATGGAAACATTATATGGAACTCAGCACTAATATTCCCACACACACGCGCTTATTGTACACACTCACTCAGGATCCTGTTGGGACGATGTTGTTGTTCCTGGTTTCCGTCGGATGATGCTACTTCCGGCTCACCCACATTGATTTCCGCTCAGATAACTATGCCTAGTTGTCTTTACGAAGGTCAGCATAACACACGTCAGAGTGCCGTAACATGTCACTAATTATTGTAAATGTGCGCCACTGGGCATTCGACGCCATATACGTTTAGAAGTACCCGTAGAAATGGTTATTTCTCAGCTTAGGCGCTCTTTAAATCCAGATGCCTAAACTGATGTACAAAGATCGCAAAAAAATCTACAACAACCGTGCTATTGTGATGTAATTTCCAGCAGTTTTAGTTAAGGAGACAATACCATTCCAGTCTCTGTGCCTCAAAAAATTCTTGCAGAGCTTTAACATGGTTTCCCGTGCAATGCAAACCTACGTTGCGATGACCTAGCTACAATACAGAAGGTAAGAAATTCTTTACGCGCTTTCGCATTTCACACTTTGCTGCTTTTCACATCTTTCCGCTGCGTTTAAATGCTTCAAGCGCAACAAAGTTCGAAGAAATGTCTGTTTTTCAGCTTGGCGTATGCCTGTGAGATTCACTACGACTGCATCGCAATAATTATTAATATGTACGCGTAATTGTCCCAACCATTTCAAACCTGGAAACTCCCACTTGGATAGTCTACTTGGGACTTTTACGGTATACGGACAAAGAGGTGCGTAATGCGTTTTTAGAAGCAACGTACAATCATAATCCCGACAAGCTATGTTCCAGAAAATGCAGAACATCATGTTCGTTTATTCTGGGCAAGAACGAGGTAGGTATGATTACCCACTGATTTTTAATAACGCAACCGGCGGCTATTTTCTGTAAACAACTCGCTCCCCAGAACGTAATCGACAGTGGCATAGTTCAATAACCCGAATAATAGAAAACCGCTCAACATACATAGATAACTTAATCCTCGCGCCTAATGTCTCTTTCATAAGTTTTTCGTTGCTTAATCCCGCTGCGGCCCGTCGTCTCAGGCACCAGTACAGACTGTACAGTTATCCGGCGCATTGATGGACCATGATCAACCGCTTTATCCCTGCACGGCACGCTGCAATCCATCGGGATAAACATTTTATGTTTCTCCATTGTTTCACTTGTCCACAGAACCAGAATAATCTTGTACATCTCCCCTTTCTTCCCGGGCTGCGGAAGACGCGGACATGCGGCGATAGACCGGCGGAGCCACACGAATTCGCAATCAC